TTACGGTAAAATGACCGATCTATACCGTCACCGTTACGGGCGAATAGACACTTCCTATATAAAATTCATCATTACATGAAATAAGGGCATATCACATCAACATCGAAGCTGATACACGGCACAGGTATCAGCTCTGCTGTTGGGGTGGTAGCATTTTGACCTCAAACAATCGATCAACAAATCGATGATCATCCCCCAACAGTCGGTAAATATCGATCACCAAATCGATGATAATCACCCAACAGTCGGTAAATATCGACCACCAAATCGATGATAATCCCCACAACAGTCGGTAAAAAGAGCACAAAAAACGACCATCGATATCGCAGAAACACCAACAACAAAACTCATTGTCGGTAGTGTAGAAATCTACTTTATCGGGACGTAGAATCCCACTTGTTCTGCTACTGTTTTTGTTTATTGTCGTGTATTTTTTTTAATATTTTACATAAACGACTGTTACGTCGTGGCTAAATTAACGTTTTTTTATTTTTTTTGTCTTAAAATAATACGAACTTTTATTAATTTTAAAATATAGTTTTTTAGAAGTAAAATTCACAGCAGACACTAATAATGAGAAAACTCATTAAGTGTCTCGTCCGGTCTCGCCAAAAAAATTCCCGTCATTGGGCCATTTTATCTCTAAGGATTAAAAAGACCCTAAATACACAAGTAAATGGGAGTTTTATTGCCCTCTGTATTGACAGCATTTTGAACAATAACCTTAGAGATTTTTAAACGTTAATAGGATTAAATTTAAGAGAACAATAAATTTAAAACTTTTAAAATAAATAATTTTAAATAACTAAAATTAATAATTAAATTGAACAACAAATTAAGAAATAATATTCACGTAAATAAGAAATATTTAAAAAATTAGTGAAAATAAGAATTAACAAATAAACAATAGGAAATATTTAAATAATTATTTAAAAATTAATAATATACAATTAACAACAATTGCATAAATAATTATGTGTGAAATGAATAACTAAAAAAAAATGAATATTATCATTCATAAAACAAACTAAATAAATAAATAAGTTAGTAATAATTATAAATAAAATATAAGACTTAGTTAGAAAAACTATGTGTTTGTGTGCATGTAAATGTGCTTACACGTATACCAATACATAGATATATATTAGCCATAAGTAAGAGAGAGAGGCACCTCACGCCTCTGGGCCCAAGGAAGGGAATTCAAGCGAACATCTTTAGAAAACTCGGAAGAGAGAGTAGAATCTAAGGGAAATAGACAGCTAATTGGATACTGTTTTCCCCCAAATAGTAATTTGGAAACGCCCGAAAATTTGAGTCCCAAAAGAACTTCGCATAAACTCTCTCTCGTCGTCCTGACCCCGAAATGTGCGGATCGCCCAATTAGCTAGTGACCGGGTTTCTCTCACGCAGCTAAATAGTTTTTTTTTAAATATGTACTCTCTCGTCGTCCTGACCCCGAAATGTGCGGATCGCCCAATTAGCTAGTGACCGGGTTTCTCTCACGCAGCTAAATAGTTTTTTTTAATATGTACTCTCTCGTCGTCCTGACCCCGAAATGTGCGGATCGGCCAAATAGTTCAAAAAAATGTAGTCTCGGGTCATCCTGACCTTGAGGTGCGCGGATCGCCCGATTAGCTCGTGACCGTGGTCACTCTCACGCAGCTAAATAGTTTATCTTAAATTAAAATCAATGTCTTGAAATAAATAGTTTATTTTAAAGTAAAATCGTAGTAATATTTTAAATAACTTTTGTCTAAACTTCAATAAAATTAAATAAATAATTAACCTCGTTAAATAATAACATATTAATTAATCAAAGAACCACGTGTGTCAACGTAGCAATAAAGGTATGTGTTGGAACTTATTGTAGTTTCACATGTGTTCGATTCTGAATTATTAATATAAATTTAAAACAATAGAATTTTTGTAAGAATTAAACATTTAACTTTTGTAACCTTTGTAATTAGTGTAACTTTTGTAATTTTCGTAACTTTTGTAATTTTCGTAACTTTTGTAATTTTCGTAACTTTTGTAAATTTTGTAACTTATATTAATTTTTAATATATTGAATAACATAAATTTGAAGTGAAATAATTTACTTAAAAACAATAAACCAATATCCTTTCATAATACTTCTGGGTTCCCGATCTAGTGGTTGAAAAATACCAGGATCAAAATAAATTTAATAATTTACGTTCAACGATTTGGACGTAACACGACTATTTTGTAAACTTGAATACTCCTTAGTTAATATTTTCCCGTTGCCCTGATAGCCACGCTTTCTTACAATGTATACTTTTCTAATGTATATACATCAAATTTGTGATAAATACTACAAATATTGCACAGCAAGTCTTAACGTCAAATTGCACAGTAACTTATTGGCAACTTAACTAAAACAACTTGCTTTTCCAACTCTTTCCGTCAAGTTGGCTACAAATTTCGGCAGCAGATTGACGGCAAGGTTCAGTTAGATGGCTACTAGAGTGTGCTTCTTAGAATAACTGAATGAAATTTTTACCGGCAAAAGGTAACTGCCGGTATAAAGAAAACATCAGTATTGTCATCCCAGTTAGCACAAATTAAATCAAGTTGACGTAAACCTGCAGCCGGAATTGGATGTAAAGTTTACGCTAACAGTAAGACAACAATTGTATACAAAAGTTATAACTTTGAGCGAACCTTTCGGTCATTTCCGGCAGTAGGTTTACGCTAACTTGATGCGTAAGTTAAATTCAAATTCTATGATCAAAAAAATCTTAAAATTTACCAGGAAACCTCTGTTGGAGGTACTAAAAAAATACCAAGAAATTAAGAAAGTCTAAAATTAAAATTTTTGAAGCCGCCCGATTTTTCGTGGAATGCTCTATAATAGGGTGTGCCAAAATGTAACTTCCTTGATGGACCTCTTAAAATTGGAATTTTGAGTTCCGCTTATAACAGGAGTTGTGTTTGGGCATTTCCTGACATATTTTGGGCGTAAAGGATTTATTTGATTTTTATAGAATTTTTTATCAGGAGTTTCGTTCGGCCATTTTGCTGAAATTTAAAAATTTCAAAATTTAGCCGAACAAAACTCCTGTTAAAAAAAAAGGTGTGTGTGCGATTCACACACGATAGAAGTGAAACTTCAGTAAATCGACAAAAGAATGAGATGAATATATATAACAAGGGTAGGATAATTACAAAGTTTATTTGTTTAAAAATGAAAGTATTTTGATTAATTTTAAAAGATATTTTATTTAACATATGTTACATAATTTAAATTCTTTATGAGCAAACTTATTTTGACGAAACCGTGAGTATGGAATTTCTGGCTGTACATCTACTGGAGGGTTATCTAAAAAAAAAAAAAAACAATTCAAAGTATGTAACGAGTTATCTATCGATTGTGTATTGAGAATCAATTCCTTAAAAAACTAAAACGAAAATCGAATTGACCAGGTACCGTAACTAATATCATTATATTTTAATCTGATTTCCAATTGTGTAAAATTTACGTTGTATTTTAGAATTTATAATTTGAATATACTTTATAATTTAAAACTACTTCTACCTGCATTCTTTTAAATCCAAATCCTAATACTCAACACGATCCCGGTCTATAGGCTGAAAGCTTGGGCCGAAAATAAATTAATTAATTCGTTCAAATTCTGGACGTAACAATTTGGCGCTCGAACAGGGACCGTTGAGTATTGGATTTACTTTATATCAAGTAAATAAACTGGCAGCGCTTCCAACAGCGCATCAGTTTCAAACAAATTCTAACCAACCTTGTTTTCTTATTAATTTTCGTTAATATTTTAAATTTATCTACAAACTGGCAGCGCTTCCAATAGCGCACTAGTTTCGATAAATATTTCGTTATATTTTCTATATTTGTCCTTTTTTCAATATTTCAAATTTATCTATAAGCTGGCAGCGCTTCTGACAGCGCACTCGCTTGATAAATTTTATTAATATTTTCGTTATTATTACCGACATTTCAATTTATCTTCAAATTGGCAGCGCTTTCAACAGCGCACTAGTTTCGATAAATTTAATTAACATTTCTTTATTAGTATTGGTGTTTCCAATTTATCTACAAATTGGCAGCGCTTTCCACAGCGCACCAGTTTCGATAAATTTTAATTTATCTGTATTATTTTTTTTTTTTTATATATTTCAAATTTATCTACAAATTGGCAGCGCTTTCAACAGCGCACCAGTTTTGATAAATTTCAAATAATATTTGTCCAGATTATTTTTTTTCTGACATTACAATTTATCTACAAATTGGCAGCGCTTCCAACAGCGCACCAGTTTTGATAAATTTCAATTAACCTATCTATATTATTGTTATATATACTTACTTACTGATATCTTTAAATTTATTTACAAACTGGCAGCGCTTTCAGCAGCGCACCAGTTCCAATAAATTGAATAAATATTTTCGATAATCACATTCCTACAAATAGTAGTATCTATATCTAAAATACCATATGCCCAAAAGAGGAAAGCGAGCCGGCCGCAAAGTCCGCCAACGGCTGGAAAAGCAACAAACGAAATCGATTCATAAAATTTCAGAACAAGTAATAAAAAGAAACATCATTTTAATAAAGAAAGATCAGAAAAAAGGTCAGTTCATAAAGTCGCGGAACGAATAGTAAAAAGAACTATCACAGTGGTAGTATTTGATAATTATCCCGGAAAACAAACACCGGATCAGAAATTATCTAGATTATATCTCTCTAACGCAGAAGCTCCAGTATCTTTAGGGGTTTCTAGAAGACGCTGGGTACCTTTAGTAAATTTAGAATGAGATCTTATGGATTGGAAATCTGATTAAAAACATTTAATCATTTAAATGATAATTTTTGTTTTATTTTATATATACATATTTTGTTTATTATTAAAAATACTTTTTATCCTTTTATTATTGTTGAATTGTGAAATCTTGAAATTCCTGTATTACCAACGATTACCCGCACGTAGTTCGCGCAAAAGGACGTAGGAACTAGATGTCTGGTGAAGAAGAGTCAAAACCTTATTCGCTAAGAAAACACGGGGACGCCCCATACGCGGCAGGTCTCCCAATTGTTAAAACTAGAAAACCGAAATTCCAGTTCACCAGTCCCCAGGGTGTCGATCGAACCGCAGACTCCGGGGTTGGGAAATCTTTTTATGATTACGAAATCTCTTCGGACGAAGACGATTTACAGCCTCAGGGATCAGTGCCAGTTGTTTTAGGGAATAACGCTCCTGTAACCCCTGTAGTTCCTACAGCTCCAATAGCTCCTATACTTCCTGTAGCTCCTGCAGCTCCAATAGCTCCTATACTTCCTGTAGCTCCCGTAGCTCCTATAGCTCCTGTACTTCCTGCAGCTCCAATAGCTCCAGTACCTCCCGTAGACCCGAGGAATCCGGTACAACGCTCTAACTACGAGAATTTTAGACTTGCTGAACAAATCATCGCGCAAATAGTTAACCAAAATCCTCCCCTGATCGCCAATCCAGGCAATATATTACCAGTAAGAGTCGTCCCAGTCGCAGACGACATGGCACTCGCGCCTAACCAGAATATATCATTGAACGACGCACTAGCGTTTGTTCCAAAATTCGAGGGAAATCCAGGTGAATTGCTGGATTTTCTAAAATGTTGTGATGAAGCTAAATCGGTACTACCCGCTGGGGCCGAGGGTAATTTAGTAAAATTAATCTACGGTGGTAAACTCGGGGTAAAGGTAAAAGCTTCGATTAATTCGACTCTTCCGGCCAATATCACCGAATTAAGCGAAAAGTTAAAGAAAATATACATACCGTCTAAATCCTTGTTCCAATTGCAGGGTGAATTGGGCAGGATGTTTCAAAAGGAAGGGGAATCCGTGGTAGACTTCGTGAATCGGTTACGGAAGAAGGGGCGCGAAATCGTCGACGTGTACGAAAATGAAAACCCCAATTTAACTGCCGATCAGCAAGAGGTCTTCCGAAATAAAACGGATATTTCGATATCAACGTGTTTTTCCCAAAATTTAGTAAATGAAATCGACCAACGCATGCCGGTTTGTCAAAACGTCGAAGAAGCTCTAACAAACGCAATAAAAATAGAGAAAAAGATTAACGCGCGGCAGGAATTACGTCGCGACCAGAAGCCTGAGAAGAGGAAAGAAACTGTAAAAGACGAACACCAAACCCCCAAGGGGGGAAAAACCGTTAATTACGTCGCGGAACCTCAAACAAATCCAACAACAAATATTAATCCCAGGTCAAATCAAAATTATACTCAGAATGCTAGCGACACGTGTCGAAAATGTAACAAACCGGGTCATTATGCGAGAGATTGCCCGGAAAATTCATGTCAAATCTGTTTCCAAAAAGGGCACACAGCGAAAAACTGTCCAATATTCGCTAAAAATATAACTCAAGACAAATACGCTAACGTACGGTGTCAGCTATGCGGGAAAAGAGACATTCCGCGCGGTATTGTGACCTTAACCCCAACGCGAAACCTAGTCCGAATCAGCGAGCAGGCACAAGCAGAAAGTCGTCGAATAATACGGGTAAATATTGCTCCTATCATAAAACAATTAATCACGACACCAGCGAATGCAGAGCGCTGCAACAAAATCCCAACAATCCCTCAACCTCTTCTTTTCCTCAGGATGCAGGGAAAAACAATCGACCGTCACAACCGGTGAATACAACACAGGAAGTGACGTTCGAAGGAGATTCGGAGTAAAAAACGTCAATATAACACTAGATCCGGATAACCTGCCTTACATTGTAGTAGGCAGATTACCCGAAGGAGGAGACGTCATTATGATGCTCGACTCTGGGGCTACCCCCAACTTAATTAAGCATAGATTCATAAGAGACAATAATAATATAGATATAAACAATAAGATCGAAATTCAAGGGATCACGAATGATCCAATTTCGACATTAGGTAGCGTAAAAATTAAACTTTTTGGCAAAAGCACTACATGTCATGTAGTTCCTGACAATTTAGCAATACCCCACGCCGGATTAGTAGGTTCAGAATTTTTCACCGCATTCGGAGCGAAAATCGATTACAAACATCGGGTATTAGAAATCGAGGATCGCAAATATCCTTTCAAAAAACTTAATCGGGTAGAAAACGGGGTTATGTATCTCCCAAGCCGCAGTGAATCTACTCTCTTCGTAAACGTGTCGAATTCCGAATTAAAAGAGGGTTTTATTCCAAAGTTAAAAATATGTAAAGGGGTTTTTGTGACGTGAATGTTTCACAACAATGTTTCCAACATTCAATACACGACAAACGCGATTTTGCATCTTTAAGTCCAGTAGCTGACGCACATCAAAGTTTTAAAATTACTAAACAAATATTTTCGGTCGTGACAAATTTTCAAAACAACGAGCGCTTTGATAAGGTTAAACCCTTGCTTCGTTTAGATTATTTAAACAAAAACAAAAAACTACACGTTGAACAACTCGTAAAAAGATATGCGCGTTAGATTGTGGCCTGAAAGCGGTTGTTTGAATTTTCTTTATTCGGAATCTTTTGCTAATACGCTGCATGAATGTGCTAACAAAATTTCTACCTTGATCGGTTAAAAGAACTTTTGGAGCTCCGAACGTGCATATAACATTTTTGATAAACTCGTCCGCGACCGTGGTAGCCAACATATTTTGTAGCGGGGCCGCGATACAGAATTTGGATAGTTGGTCTTGGATAGTTAATATATATTCGTTATTTCTTTCGGTACGAAGTAGCGGTCCTACGATATCCATCGCGATTTTATCAAATACTGTTCCGGGTGTGTCGGTAATAAGCATGGGTTGTCGTGTCTTAACCCGTACTAATTTTTTCAATTGGCATTCTAAGCATTGTTGAATGCGCCGTTGTATGTCGATTTTAAGATTTTCCCAGAAATAGTTTGCCCGTATTCTATTAAATGTTTTAGAAACCCCTTTATGTCCGCCGATAGGGGACGTATGTGCTTCGAAAAATATAAGGTCGCGCTCCTCGCGGGGAACGTAGCGAATAGTTCCGAGACAAACTATAATTTTAATTGGCTCAGTTTCGTAAATATCATAAATTGTTGCGAGAATTTCTGCCCATAGAACATTCTCGATACTTTCTGTAAAAGCTATGGAAAAAGAATTAATTCCTTTATCCCTCGAGATCCCTTTTAGTTTAACGAGACATTTAGCAATATTACACTTAACGCGTATTGCTGATTCCCCGTCGTTACTACGTATAATTAAGCCAAAATAGTTTTTTGAATCCCGTTTAGTCCAATATACCTGTCCGGTGTCCATTAACCCTATCTTTGGTAATTTATTTAAAGTTTGTAAAGCTCGGGAGCCCTCGTCGCAAGGACTACCATCTTCCCTTAAAAAGTAAACTAGATTGTCTTCCCGATACTGGAATAAGTCTTTTACAGTAATAATATTTTGTGTTTGTTTAATCGCGTTTCCTTGATCGTGATCGTTTTCAATTACATAATCTGATTCATCGGAAGATGGAATGTCTTCCGAAGACATGTCAGAATTCTCAGGATCGACGGGATCGGTTTCTTCGTGAATTACTTCGCGTGATTTTGGGGGTCGACCTCTCTTCCAACGAGGTTTTTCCCTACGTTTATCGGACTTTATGGAAGTGTCTGGAACTTCCGTGTTAGATAGGATAGAAGTGTTAGGAACTTCTGCGTTAGACATAATAGAAGTGTTAGGAATTTCTGCGTTAGATAAAATAGAAGTGTTAGGTACTTCTGCGTTAGATAAAATAGAAGTGTTAGGAATTTCTGCGTTAGATAAAATAGAAGTGTTAGGTACTTCTGCGTTAGATAAAATAGAAGTGTTAGGAATTTCTGCGTTAGATAAAATAGAAGTGTTAGGTACTTCTGCGTTAGATAAAATAGAAGTGTTAGGTACTTCTGCGTTAAATTCGTGAATTTTTGATAACCCTTCTCTTGCCTTTTGGGCACGCGTGGTCACCGTTACCTTTTCAATCGGATTCCTGGATAGCGCGTCGGCATTTAAATTGATTTTTCCCGGTTTATAGATCACCGTATAGTCATATTCCGCTAAACGTAATCGCCATTTGAGAATTCGCGCGTTCCCATCCTTAGCGGTTTTGAACCATACTAATGGCTTGTGGTCAGTGATCACAATAAATTTTCTCATGTATACATATGGTCGGAAGTGTTTGACAGCCTGGACTATCGCGAGTGCTTCTTTTTCATATGTATCGTAACGTAACTCGGGTCCCCGAAGGACACGAGAATAATACGCAACAGGTTGATCTTTTCCAATTTCACCCTGTGATAGAACCGCCCCGATGGCGAATCCTGATGCGTCGGTAGTTATAATAAAGGGTTTTTCAAAATCTGGGTACTGCAAGATAGGTGCTGTGCACAGAGCATTTTTAAGTTTATCGAACGCGATTTGAGCGGTCTCGGACCAGTCAAAGTCTGTTTCTTTTTCTAACAAACGTGTTAAAGGTTTAGCGACTGACGAGTAACTTTTGATGAATCGTCGATAGTAGCCTGTTAAACCCAGAAATTCCCGGATATTTCTCTGTGTTCTAGGAACAGGGAAATTTCGGACTGATATTAGTTTTGCAGGGTCAGGTTTCAAACCTTCCCTACTAATTACATGACCTAAATAATTTACTTCCGGCCTTAAGAACTCACATTTATCGGGTTGCAATTGAAGATTAGCTTGTCTTAAACGGAGCATTAGATTATTTAACTTTTGTTCGTGTTCTTCCAAGTTTTTGGCGAATATTATTATATCATCTAGGTATACGAACAGAGCGGTCCCTTGTAACCCCGTTAATACCGAGTCCATTAACCTTTGGAAAGTTGCTGGAGCGTTTTTTAGTCCGAAGGGCATTCGGAGGTACTCCCAATGTCCTTGAGGGGTCGAAAAGGCTGTTTTGTGACGGTCTCTCGGGTCCATCTCTATTTGGTTGTAACCGGACGCTAAATCAAAAACTGAGAAATATGTGGATCCGCCTAATTGGTCTAGTATGTCAGTTATGTTAGGTAATGGGTACGCGTCCGTAATGGTTTCCTCGTTTAATAATCGAAAATCTATTACAACGCGCCATCTCTTGTTTCCCTGAGAATCGGATTTCTTAGGGACGATCCAGACTGGACTATTGTAAGGGGACTCTGAAGGTTGTAAGACACCTGTATCGAGTCCCTCTTTAATCTGTTCCTCTAATTCCGGTTTAAGAGCTTGCGGTATTCTGTATTGTTTTATAGTTATTGGTCTGTCACTCTGCGTAGGGATTCGGTGTTGATAATTTTTAGAAGAGTTTAGGGGCTCCCCTGGAATATAAAATCGATCAATAAATATAATACATTTTAATATATCACATACAAAAAGCTGATACGTAAAAACGAGTAAATTATAACGAAACTTTCTTTGTTAATGCACTTTAGTGCATAAAAGTAAAGTGTATTTATATGTAATATACCAAAAAAAGCATTATTTCTTTATGTATAGGTAAAACGTATAAATTATGCATTAGGTGTGTTAAAATTATACGTTACGTTTTTCAAGTGTGTTATTTTCATGCACCTAGATTCATTTACATGTTTAGACGTTTTAAAGAACCGTGCTTACACATTTTCGTACATTGAAAAAACACGCTATTTACACACTTTGATTTGCAGTGTGATGATAATATATAAACTAGTGTAATTTTTTATAGGGTTTCCAATTCAAAAACTTCAAAGCCGCGTCCTTCATCTCCATGTATTTGACTATGATCGCTTTTCAAGAGATGATTCCATTGGAGAAATGTTTCTACCACTCTGCCAGGTAAATAAATTTCTGAGTTCTATAATCAAGTGCCAGTTTTACTGTACATGTTTTTGGAGGTAATTTTTCGGTAGCAAGATTAAGGAACTTGTTCACTTAAATCTCTGAAAGTTGAGCACACTGAGGAAACAGTTTGTTTCGCTCAAATGCACAGATTTATTTGAATCAAATCAAAAATATATATTTAATGTTTACAAATTTCTTCCATTCAAATATATATTACTTTGAATCAAATACGTCGTTTTGGTTTATTCAACTGAATCGACTCATTTATTCCATTTAAATAAAGATTTGTTAACTATTAACAAATCTCGCTTTAAGTAAATTACGCCTGGTACCGCTACGGTCGCTACTGTTATTTCTCGACGTGATTTGTAAAAAATGAATAATAAAAATTAACTCAGTTTACAAATGTATTTGTTTAATTTTTATTTAAGCTATTGTATTTTTAGTACCTTAAAATGTGTCTGATACAATCAATTAATTGTGTATATATCATTTTTATAGAAATAAATAAAATAAATAAATATACATGAGGGTGATCCTTATTAAGGTTATGTTCGAATTTTTTTTCACGATAGTTCTAAATCAGTTCCAAATCTATAGAAAAAAATTAGGATGACGGTTGACCCTAAAGGCCATCCCTGCAACTTCCCGCTCATTTTGTACTTAAGCGCTCGAAACTACACATTACGTTTTTGAGCTCTTCAAGCTCTAAAATATTATTTTTGTGTCAATTTGAGCTCTTCGAGCTCAAAACTCTAATAGCAGTTTAATAAAACACAATTTTTTGAATTTTCAAACGACAGTAACTTTTGAATGAATGAACCGATTTTGGAGCGGTTGGCGGCAATCGACGCAGTTTTCAAAGCTCCATGAAAAATTTTCAAGTTTAAATCGATCGAGCCATGAATTTCGAAGTAATTCTGAAAAAACACGTTTTTCGGTTTTCTTTCGACAACGATAACTCACGAACGAATAAACTGATTTTGACCAGGCTTGCGGTGATCGACGTAGTTTTTCGATCTTAAGAGCTGATTAGATTTTGGAATTGATCGGTGAAGCCATTTTAAAGTAATTCCAAAAAATCCTCATTTCAAAAAATTTTTTTTCGTATTTTTTTTGAGATTTTTCAAAATCTACTGCTTCGAATCGGTCCAAATATTATTCAAAATCTAAGTTTGGTCAAGCCCTTTCGAATGGCACCAACTGCGATTAAATCGGTCAAGCCGTTTAAAAGTTATAAGAGGGTCACATACATGCATAAACACATACAGACATACGGACATCATCGTGAAAACAATCAGGAAAGCTTCCTAGGACTTCAAAACGTCAAGATCTGATGAGAACTCGATTTTCGAAAAACGGGGTAAAACCAATTACTTTTTTTGATAATTTGATAAATAATCAAAAATAACTGATTTTTGATCATTTTCAATTTT